ATTGATACTGATAATTTTGACATTGCAGTATAGTTAAAGTATTAGGTGAATGATCAATAAGTTTTAAACAATCTTGATGCATATGCTTTTGTGGAAATAAACAAAGTTTAAATGCAATTTAAAATGATTAATGGCTCCGTGGCTTATTTCCTCAATCTTGATAGACTTAACCTAAGTAATTTTTGAACATTTTCCTTCATGTTTTAATAGTACCTTGCAAAGATGACTGATTCTTAGGTTAGAAAGAATTAATAAACTAGTTTGGAATTGTTAACAATTTTTTATGCCCTGAAGCAATCAATGCAACTTTGGAGGGAGGTCTTTCAAGCTCTTTCTCGAGTTCTATTTCAGTAAATGTTCTCAAATGTGAAAATAAGACTATGAACTCTTCTTTGATAAGCGGAATTCAAATAACAGGAAATAATAGAGAGAATATAACTTGTGCACCCTAAGAAGATATTGATAGAGTTTTCAATAATCTTGAGTTATTTGTTGGTACAATTTATCAATTTTTCGATGACTAAGAGCAGGAAAAGCATCCTATTAAAAATTCATTGAATATGCAATACTTTACCACAGCACCTTAAATTTCTCAGAATTATTATAATAAGATTAGCTTTAATCTAGTCAAAACAAAAGATTCTTCTTTTATTAATATGGACCCACAAATTTACACTTATGTAGGTATTCGAGCAGATTCTACTTTTGCAAAAACACCAAATGAGATGTTCGCCCATATTAATGTTATGTATTTTGCTGATGAAAAATATATGATCACCGAGAGAGAAGTGTTGACAATTTCTGCGGCTCTATCAGCGACTGGAGGATACATTGAGACTATAAGATTGATATGTGTTGCATTTATCTATATATTTAGAGCAGAATCATTCTATATCTCACTCATGAAAAAGTTTTTAATTACTGAAACATATCAAAATGGTCCAGCTAAAGTAGTTATATAAAGCTTAGATAACACCTTTAAAGATGATATTGCTAGAAATTATAATAAAATTCATAAATCAAAATTAAGCCAAGACAATTGAAATTTAAGCTTAAACGAAAAAAATCAATATAAAAATTATCTGAAAAGGATCAAGTCGAGAAGTCCTTTAACATTTAGTTTTAAAGATAGATTAAGTTGCCTTAAAAGCAAGTTATGTTGCAAAGATAAATAGAATATCATTAAATACAGAATATATTAGCAAGCAGTAAAAAGAATAGATGAAAACTTTAATATTGAAAATTTATTTACTAAGCTTAGAATAAGCCAAACGATGAGTGAGATTTGTATGAAAGATTACTAATAAAAATTGATACCATACTTCTAAAAGAATATTATTTAAGCAGATTATATTGAAACCAACAATATTATGAAAACAAAACTGAAAAAGAATTAAAAATTAAAGCGCTGGAAAGAAATTGACAAAGATTAAAAAGATAGTATAAAACTGTGTCTTTAAAGATTAATAGTTAACTCTAGAACTAATAAATAAAGCTAGAAAACTTTGCAAATGATTGATCTAATGAATAAAGATATATAGTCATAATAGAGCTTGACATTACCTTATTAAAATTT